AAGATCCGTCTGTAACAATAAAGTTGTCAAATTTGAAAGAGGTCAGATGCACTGGCTATCTATTAGATCTGTGACATTTTTAGGAATACTGATATAACTAAATCTGAAGCAGTGAATTTCTATACTGAACAACATATCCAGAGAGACCCAAGATAAAAGCTTTTCAAGCCAGGCCTCTCGGTATTTTTGAAAAGAGAAGCCATGCTGTTGGTCATACAAGAACTCTACAGGCTGTGAATGATCAAACACTTCCTTGAAATAATGAGAGAGTAGAGACTGAACAACTGAGGATCAGATGGTGCAACTCAAAAGACATGGTCTTAATGTCAAACATCCTGTATAAAAGGTGTAATTGTTTTTATTTATAATGCTCTTTTCAACCTAAAAGATGCCCAAGTGCTACACAGCACATCAGGTGGAGATGTGAGAATTTATTTTACTCATTGAATATAGGGGAACAGTTAGGGAGGATTGATTGTTCAAGCCTAGAGTGCAACTTATACCCCTGCTTTTCTGAACAAAATCATGAGAGCTTTAACATTTTATGGACTGCCAGCAGTCCCACTTGTAAAAAATGTCCATGAACTCCAAATCGGAAGAAAGAAGAGTTACAAATGAGAAGAGGCCATTCAGCTCATCTATCCTGTTTTGTTGTCAGCAGTTAATTAATTCAAGGATCTTATCCAGCCATTTCTTGGAAGAAACCAGGATATCGGCTTCAACAACATGGCAGGGTATCTTATCCCATATTTCCCCAAACCCCTTTGTAAGTTTTCGGGGAGCGATGACATTTGACTGCAGAATCGGGGTGGATGTCAGCCAGACTTTGTCTCCTAAAGAGCCAGATATGAAATATGTACCACTAAAGTAACAATCACAATATATTCAATCAGCAAATTAAAAAATGTTCTCTTTCTGGGAATAAAAAACTTTTTCATTACACAATATTTTTTTCATAGAAAAAAATGTCTGAATCATTAATCTATTAATAATAATTTACGTTATTATGTACAGTATCTTGCATAAAGCCAATAATGTCAGGCATCTAATTGAATAATATATGTACACCTTTCATGAAACAATTTCACAACCTAATAACATCAGGATATTCAACATTCAGTAAGTACAGTCATACTGCTTGCATATATTGTTGTAATAAAACTTTTGAGATCTTTTTCTAACAATGAAAGCATTCCTACAACATATGAGCACTTCTTCCTTTTTTTATTAAAATAAAAAATAGAGGTCATGGAGGGTTCATGGCCAAGCAGTCAAACTCTGTTTTATATTTCTTCCAAAGGACATCACAAAATCTACCCACGTTCTAAAAAATCAAGAATTTAGAGAGATGTACAGTACTGTGCCTCTGACATAACACAAACAAAGGCAGTTAATTCAAGTTCACTGTGCTTGTTCTGGTGCTAGGCTGGCTAGTGGGTTATTGATCCAAACCCCAAAAAGCAGCTTCTAGAAAGACTGTAGTGCTCCACAACACGGCTTGGAATATTGTTCATTATAACCACACCTCCCTGTGAAAGGAACTGCATCCTATACTTCGTCCTGAATTCAGGACAGATTTTACATTAAAGTCTCCTTTCACTGGCTTAATTCCTAAGGTTCAACACAAGGCCTCTGACTGTGAAAACAGCTAACAGACCTGCCTGTGTTAGGAAAGCACAGAGTTAAGTTTGACTGGACATAGTGGACTCGCTCACACAAAAGTTCCGTTCAAGGTTAACTGTGGGCTGGCAGGTTGCGGCAATCAATTTCTTTTCCAGCACTGAACACATTTGTGGATCCAGCATCCCTATGGGATGCTATAATTAGTTCTGGTTAACAAGAAACTTTCAGATCTCCTTAAATCATTAAAAACATCTCCAACTTCCTCAATATTACAACTATTTACTAACTTCTTTCACTTCACTAATTTGCATGACACACCACAAGGATTGTACTGTAGACAGTCTAGCGATGGTCATACTAGCTGCTTTTAAGTGTGGCGTGCAGACCAGTTTTTAGTGGGATACAAGGAACCTTTCAGTATGCCAGACTGAGTCAAATGGAGTAATTTCTGATCTTCAGTATGTAACATACAGTGCGTGAAAAATGTTCTGCCATATATTCCTCAGGATAAAACATTCTTGTGTCTTTGGCAACATGTGAAAAAAAAAATCTGCAAAAAATAAACACCTCACACTAGGCCAGCTACCAGCAACAACCCCAGTAGCCGGTAAACGTGATTGAATCCAATACATCAATAATCCAGTAGTTCTAAATAGTCCAGTACAGTAGTTCAAAATAATCCACAAAATTCACTGCAAGAATAATAACAAAATACCAAGCTGCTAAAATAGAATTTAATAGCAAAAAAAAAAAACCCAAAACATTGAAATCGAAATCAAAAAGAGGAGAGGCCACCACAGTTCAACAGCACTCCCTTGTCCCAAACTACAAATCGGGAGACGACGGTATTCACTGTTTTCCTCTGACAGTCCAAAACACACGGGTGTCTGCATCTGTTCAGTTAAAATCGCTTTATTTCTGTTTCGGAGACAAACACTAACACACAGCTCAGCTCATGCCCCCAGCCGTAGGGCAAGACCAGTCTGGAGTGTGAGGACATGACTTCTGTGCCTTGACACTCGCTGGCCACTTGTAATATCACTGCTTTACAGTGCACTTAGAAACCTACATTTTGTGGTCAGAGAATAAAGGAATTGCAGTGGCATGGTATCAAAGATATGAGATTCTTGAAATCAAACTGGATTTGGTTAAACCAATGTTTAGAAATATCTGACAACTTTGTTCCTAGATCACACAAGGTGTTCCCACTGATGATCCAGCAAGGAGAAGGACAGCTTGCACAGACAGACTGGACATCTGGCCTTCAGGGATGTCCCCATTACAAATCGCCATCCTTTGGGATGAAGATATCTGAATAAATGCAAGAAATCCTAATTGTTATCCCTAAGCCAGCCATATCACCCAATTCTCTGAGACAACTGTACAACTACAGTAGTTAATATGTAAGGAATGAAAGAGAAGTATATACCTTTTTCACAATTTCAAATGTAGCAGCACGGTCCCAATGAGAGACGACAGGCTGAAAGATGTGAAGTTGATCATTACTAAAGACATCACATTTGACGGAAGTAGCACCTAATGCTTATTTGGACCAAAAAAGTTTACCTTTTGACACAACTTGTGAAGGAAAAAAAAACTGCAAGATTTTTTGAGGCACAGCATAGAATCTCAATAAAAAAGAAAATAGGATAGATG